CTGCTCCTCCGCTCCGGGTTTGCAGGCTGGACTCGGAGGACGGCGATGGCGCCTGGTGCCCCGAGATCCCAGTGGAGCCCGACGACCTGAAGGAGTTCCTGCAGATCGATCTGCGCGCACTCCACTTCATCACACTAGTGGGCACCCAGGGCCGCCACGCCGGTGGCCACGGCAACGAGTTTGCCCCCATGTATAAGATCAACTACAGCCGGGACGGCACCCGCTGGATCTCCTGGAGGAACCGGCACGGGAAGCAGGTAAGGAGGCAGGTGGGGGCTGCACTGGATGGTGGGTGGCCCGTCCCCACCGCGCTTCTCTCTCCCCAGGTGCTGGATGGAAACACCAACCCCTACGACATCGTCCTCAAGGACCTGGAGCCGCCCCTCATCGCCCGCTTCGTCCGCTTCATCCCCGTCACCGACCACTCCATGAACGTCTGCCTGCGCGTTGAGCTGTACGGCTGCGTCTGGCTGGGTGGGTGGTGCGATCCTGTGCCCTTCCCTGTGTCCCCAGAGCCCAGCTGGGGGGCTGTCCATTCCACCAGGGGCTGCCCGTCCCGCTGGGGGCTGGCAGGGCCCTGGGGCTGGCAGGGGCTCACCAGCAGCGGGGGGTCCGATGTGGGCAGCCGCTCACTCTCCGCTCCCCACAGACGGGCTGGTATCCTACAACGCGCCAGCTGGGCAGCAGCTCGTCCTTCCCGGGGGCACCGTCATCTACCTGAACGACTCAGTGTACGATGGGGCGTTCGGGTACAGGTGAGGGCCAGGCAGGCTTCCAGACCTTCGTGGGCACTGTGCTGGGCACGAGGGGGCGGGGGTGTTTCTTCCCTGCGTTTGCAGGCTGCTGTGCTGATCTTCAGCAGAGCAAATACTTGGGGTGTCCCTGAAGCAGGGGACGTGGCCAGCTTTGGGAGGCTGCACATCCTGATGGGGACAGTGTGATGGGGAAAGCCCCTCCAGCCCTCCTCTTGGATTTGCATTAACTGCGCTGCACGTTTGGCATCCCGTGGCCTTTTCCAGAGAGAACATCAAGAACAAAAGCCCCTCCTGAATTTCCATGGAGCTGCCAAGGGTGGTGGTGCTGGGTGGTGGCAGGTTCATGGGGTTGGCGAGAGTCACGTTCCCTTTCGGCAGCATGACGGAGGGCCTGGGCCAGCTGACGGACGGAGTGTCGGGGCTGGACGACTTCACGCAGACCCACGAGTACCACGTCTGGCCAGGCTATGACTACGTGGGCTGGCGCAACGAGAGCACTGCTGGCGGCTATGTGGAGATCACCTTCGAGTTCGACCGCGTCAGGAACTTCACTGCCATGAAGGTCTGTGTGCCCTCCGCCCCGTCCCCCATCCCTGTCCCCCACCACAGCCGCGCTGACGGGCTGCCCCGCAGGTCCACTGCAACAACATGTTCGCCAAAGGAGTGAAGATCTTCAAGGAGGTGCAGTGCTACTTCCGCGCCGACGCCAGCGAGTGGGAGCCGGGCGCCGTCTCCTCCGTGCTGGTGCTGGATGACGTGAACCCCAGTGCCCGCTTCGTCACCGTGCCCCTGCTCCACCGCATGGCCAGCGCCATCAAGTGTCAGTACTACTTCGCCGACGCCTGGATGATGTTCAGCGAGATCACCTTCCAGTCCGGTACCCGCCACCATGAGCCCTGCAGGGACCACACCGTCCTGGGGGGGAGGTTTGAGGAGGAAGCAGGGCACCCGTGCCCCCACCCTGATGCTCTCCTCTTCTCCCTTGCCAGATGCAGCCATGTACAACAACTCAGTGGCCCCTCCAGAGATGCCTGTGGTCCCCACCACTTATGGTAAGGCATCAAAAAGCACATCACCCTGAGCTGGGCAGGGGCTGGGGTCACCTCCCCTTGGGGTGATGCTTTGGGGGGCTCTGCCCCATCCAATGGAGGAAAGGGGCAGGGGATCTCCCCGTGCCCCAGCATGACCAGCTCTTGTTGTCCCCTCCTCCTGCCAGACCCCACGCTTAAGGTAGATGACAGCAACACGCGCATCCTGATTGGGTGCCTAGTGGCGATCATCTTCATCCTGGTGGCCATCATCGTCATCATATTGTGGCGGCAGTTCTGGCAGAAGATGCTGGAGAAGGTGGGCATGCACAAGGTGGCTGGTGAGGTGCCATGGAGTGGTGGGCCCATCTCGGGTAGGTTCCTCTGGAAGCTCAGCTCAGGGAACGCAGACTCCACGCAGCGATTGATGCGCTTTCCCCTCTTTGGGAAGGTTGTGATCTGCGCCCACATCCCAAGCAAGGGGATATAGCTGAGCAGGGTGGTGACTTTGGGACCTGCCTGCTTGTCCATCCCTCTGTCCTGAAGCTGGGCTGGGGAAGAGGAGCTCGAGAGAGTCTCATTGCAGCCCCCAGCTCACTGAGAGCTGTCGTAGAGGTGATGGAGACAAACTCTTCTCCATAGAGGCAGGCAACAGAAGCAGGGGGACATGAGGACAAATGTCTTCCCCAGGCGGGTGCTGCAGGCCTGGGACAGGGCACCAGAGAGAGGGGCTCAGGGCTGGGCACAGCCACGGTGCCATGGAGCACAAGAGACCCCGTTCCACTGGTGCTGCGGGAACCCCCTGCCCCAGCTCTCTCCTGCCTCGCCCCCTCTCGCAGGCGTCGCGGAGGATGCTGGATGACGAGATGACCGTCAGCCTCTCTCTGCCCAGCGAATCCAGCATGTTCAACCACAACCGCTCCTCCTCCTCCAGCGAGCAGGAGTCCAGCTCCACCTATGACCGCATATTCCCCTTGGGACCCGACTACCAGGAGCCCTCCCGCCTGATCCGCAAGCTGCCCGAGTTCACCCCAGGGGAGGAGGACACAGGTGAGAGCGGGGACACCCCGTGTCCTTA